ATTTTTCTCCCTCAGTTTGTTTATGTGATGTATCATGTTTATTGATTTACGGATATTGTACCATCCTTGCATCCCTGGGATAAATCCTGCTTGGTCGTGGTGCATGATCTTTCTGATGTACTCCTGGAACCGATTTGCTAGAATTTGTGTTCATGAGGGATATTGGCCTGTAATTCTCTTTCATTATGTTGTCTTTATCTGACTATCACCAGAAGGTTCAAATGTCGAGTTGCAGGGGCCTGGGCCATGTGCAGTGGGCGTTTTGCACCCACCCCCCAAAGTGTCACTGAAGAGCTCTGAGACGTGCGGTTGCTGTGGGTTGGTGGGAGCCACGCTTGCCTTGGGTCAGAGAGTCACAGGCGCTTAGTGTGGCCTCGTGTGTGTGTGTGTGTGTGTGTGTGTGTGTGTGTGTGTGCGCGCGCCTAGAATCAGGGACCCTGCCTGCGCCACACTGAAACTGAGAACCCACTGGTGTGTGCCCAAAATCAGAGTCCCCTATTGCGTGTCAGGAGTCAGAGGCTCCTTGTGTCCAGGCCGAGAATTGAGTATCAGAGACTCTGTTTCTTGGTGCTATCTCGCGCTGAGAATCAGGGTCCCTGTGTGCACATGCACCAAGAATTGGAGTCACTGGCTCGTAGTGTGCATGTATTGGGAATCAGGGATCTCAGGCGCACGTAATGAGGTACAGAGTCTAGTCCCTGGTGGTCAATGCTGCCTCTTGGGTGGAGATTCAGGGTCCCCGATCTGCCTGGGAGACGGGGTTGCTCAGTCGCACTGTGTTGGCAGGAGGTCCCCTTCTGCCCTGTGTGCGCTTGCCCCGGATCAAAGTCAGGTGGCACTGCCCCTTAGTGTGGGCGTGGGGTCTGGTCACGCGGGTGTGCACCGTGGAGAACAAACTCCCCGTGTCCATCTGCCCAGGCTCAGATTCAGCGCTGCCCTCCTGTGAGGGCACAGGGTCTGATGGTGGGGAACAAACTCCCTGCGTCCGCACATCCAGGTTCACATTCAGCGCAGCCTCTCTGCTCAGGTGCAGGGTCTGGTCCTGGGAATAAACTCCCCGGGTTCGCACCCCCAGGCTCAAACTCAAAGGCTGTCTCCCTGTGTGGGTGCAGGACCCGGCCTCACAAAACAGTCTCCCCCAAGGTCGTGGGCCTGTGCTCAAATTCAGGACTGTCTCCCTGCCTGGGCGCGGAGACGGGTCGCAGAAAACAAACTTCCCGTGTCTGACATGAGGCTCAAAGTCAGGCGGAGTGGCCACTGCTCTGTGTGTGCAGAAAGCCTTCTGTGGGGCTGGGGGCTGGTAGTTTCTGTGTCTCTGCTGTGGGGTTGGCGGGGGAGGGGGATTGGCTTTGGCCGGGTGCCTGGAGTCCTGGTGTCCCTGGGTCTGCAGCCGTGATTGTGGGTGTTTTCCCAGAGTGGCTGTAGGGTCCTGGTTTGCTTCCGAGATCAGACTGGGTGTTGGCGAGGCTAGGGTTCTAGTCTCGAGCAGTTCTGTTCTTCACGATGGCGTGGTCTCTGCCACTGGTGTCCTTGCCAGAGTGTTTGTGACAGCAGCGGGGTTTTGCTGTCTAAAGACTGCCCGGATTGGCAGCCCCTGGGAGCACTGCAGGGTCTCACTGTCCCTGTTTTACTCACACACACACACACACACACACACACAAACGTCCACACACACCTCTGTCGCTCCCTCACTCTCTCACACACTCTCCCTCCCTACCTTCCTGCCGGTTGCCATCTTCTCTCTGCCTCTTTTCAGTTTTGTAAAATGGGTGTAACACTATGGGGTTTGTTCCGTAGGACAGTTGTGAAAACCAAGAGAGGTAGGCCACAGAAGCGCCTACCGTAGTGCTTCTGACATAGTGCTTCAGACACATTCCCCTTTTTTTGTTTTAAACCAAGGCAGAGTTGAATTTGGAAGTTGCAGGATTATGCCATCCCTGCTTGACAATTTCATCCTCGTGGTGCTTCGCGTGGAGCCAGCAGGTGGCGACATTGCCAAATCTGGGCACCGCTGGCCTCGGTCGGCAGCTGCAGGAAGTGGTTAGAAATTCAGCCCACTGGAGTGGCCAGCGCTCAGTTGCTATACTTGTTCCGTGTCCCTCACAAGATCAGTGTTTGCATGAACAATCCGAGCCGGTGGGGTGAAGGGATGGACACGCCTGCAGATATTCCAGGACCAGAGACCACATCCTGGGCTTTCTGGCTAGCAGTGGCAGCCCTTGGTTCCATGCCCAGGACTACCTGTTCCTGGCCGAGGGCCGAATTACCAGCTACCTAATGCAGCGTTGTCATGGCCTCGGGGTAGTGGGACTGAAGCTCGGGGGGTGCTGAGGGTGGGCTCGAGGGCACTGAACTTCAGCAGGATCCCCGGTGCCCTCTCCTACGAGCTTCTGCAAGGCTGGGCTAGCTTGCCTAATCTGAGAACAAGGTTTCAAAAACAGTCCAGGTTCATTTTGACGTATGAGTCTGAGAGTCTGCAGTGTGAGATGCTGTGGCCCAGAGATCATCCAGAAATAACCAAGTCAAAGTGATCATAAGCTGCTTTTTGTTGTTTTGGGTTTTGTTTGTTGTTATTATTTTTTTAGGGGGGTGTGGGGGGGCAGCAGGAGGGGTGCCGGTTGTTTGTTTTTGCATAGTAGAAGTTTTCATCAGTGATAGAATCCCTGAAGGGTAAGTAGACGGAGAGGAATTTGAGTCAGCAGTTCGGTTCTGTGGTTTGGGGTGATGACTTGTTATTCCCCTATGATGTGTGGTCCTTCAGAGGTACTCGAAGTGAAGGGTAACATGGAGAAGCCAGGCCAGATAAACGGTTAGGATTGCATAAAACAGTGTGATTTTTTTTTTCTATTGAACTGGCATGATTTAAATGTACAATTTACATGAACATTTCTGTTGCTTTGGAACCTGTCAGTGTGACAACTGTGATTTTTAAACCTGTAACTGTGCTACCTCGTTTGTGGTTAGACTTGACTGTGGTTTCAGTAATGAACCACAAGGTGGCACCAACTTCAAAAACTGGGTTAGCCCCAGTGGTTGCTCAGTGGTTGAGCTTTGACCTATGAACCCGGAGGTCCTGGTTTGATTCCCGGTCAGGGGTCAGGGCACGAGTCTGGTGGCGGGCTGGTCCCCGGAAGGGGAAGGGGGCGTGCGGGAGGCAGCCAGTTGGTGGTGTTTCTCTCTTATCCATGTTTCCGTCTATCCATCTCCCTTCCTCTCTCTCTAAAAGTCAATAAAAACATTTTTTTTAAAAACTGGTTTAGCCACTTAAGGAAGTTGTGGGGAGGCAGAGTTCCAAATCATGTAGCAGGCAGCTCTTCAGCAAAATCTCACCAAATTGCCCTTATTTTCTGTTTTGTTGACTTTTTTCCTCCAGGAAACTAACTGGGGGCCAGAGAGGTAACCCTTTCCCCACATTAATTTAAATCAGCTTGTTTTAAACTCAGTTGCTATACTTGTCCTGTGTTCCTTGCAAGATAAATGTTTCCATGAACAGTCCGAGCCAGCGGGGTGAATGGATGGACACATTGCGGTTTCCCATCTGAAAATTATTCAGATGTTCGGTTAAATCTTAACTGACGATCCCCCCCCCCCCCCCCCCCCCAAAGAGCTCCTTTCTGCCACTGAGTGGAGATTTTACTCAAGTGACCATAGAATTAAAACATTGAAAAAGAGTGCTCAGGCCCTAACCAGTTTGGCTCAGTGGATAAAACGTCGGCCTGTGGACTGAAGGGTCCCAGGTTCGAGTCCAGTCAAGGGCAATGTACCTTGGTTGCAGGCACATCCCCAGTGGGGTGTGTGCAGGATGTAGCTGATTGATGTTTCTCTCTCATCAATGCTTCAAACTCTATATCCCTCTCTTTTCCTCTTGTAAAAAAATAATAAAGAAAAATATATTTTTTAAAAGGGTGCTCAGGTCATTTTCCATTGGGTTTCTTAGTCAAGTGTCATCTCTCTCACCGGTTGCTAACAATTTAAATATTCTTTCTCCTTTAGGAAGTAGCAGCCTGGAGGGCAACCTTCCTAACCACTTCACTTATCTATTTTTTTTACTAGCTGGGCTGCTGATATTGTATTTATCTTTGAAATTGTTCTTGCTTGTGTATCTTAATCATCAATTTAGATTGGTCTCAAGGATGTTAGACTCTGGAAAATGCAATATGACACTGGAATTTTATTTTATTTTTAAAATATATTTTATTGATATTTTTACAGAGAGGAAGAAATAAGGATAGAGAGTTAGAAACATCAATGAGAGAGAAACATCAATCAGCCGCCTCCTGCACACCCCCTGTTGGGGATGTGCCCACAACCAAGGTACATGCCCTTGACTGGAATCGAACCTGGGACCCTTGATTCCGCAGGCTAGCGCTCTACCCACTGAGCCAAACCAATTAGGGCATGACCCTGGGAATTAAAAAAAAAAAAAATTATAGCTACCTTTGAATTACTTATTTACACGTATATATGAATGACATTTGTGGATTTCATAAATATACACGAGGTTGTGATTTTTTATGCCATTCTATCTGTGGTCCCCTACAGCTCCGATTTTAGTGGCTCAGGAAAGAAAATCTCTCGTGTTTGTTTATCTAATGGAGTGATGAGGAGAAATCATTATGAAGTGACCATCCCAGGAGTCTTTTGAACATTCTTTATTCCATAGTCCACTTAGTAGAGCATAAAAAAATTGGTTATAGAGTACTTTCTGCGACCTCAGTTGCCTATTTTTAGGATTGGTTTCCTGCTTACGCTCCATAGAGTATCTTTCTGTGCTAATTTGTTATTCAGATTATCAGCAGTAAATGTGGTCAAGTCCAAAAAAGGTGACCTACGTTTGGGTTATTTCAAATGTGTGTGGAAGGACTGTTCATCAGTAGCTGTAGGTTTTAAGAAATAGCTAGCAGGAATGGAAAATGAGCATGTGAGGAAACGGGTTTGCTTCTAATCTTGTTTCTGATGGAAACTGGTGAACTGTAACACCTTTTTGTTGCCTCTCTCAGATTGGAATTGTTGGTGGAACCGGCCTGGATGATCCGGAAATCTTAGAAGGAAGAACCGAGAAATATGTGGACACTCCCTTTGGCAAGGTTAGCACCCAGTTGATGGAGACATACCAGCTGGCTTGATTTTTTTTTTTTTTTTTTTTTAAGTTTAAAATAATTGCTGTTGAAAAAGGGGGCTAGGAGTCCAGTCAGTGGGTTCTACCGGCAGAGACAGTGTCTCGAAGGGCGCCCTGGCCTTTCTCATATTAAAAGGACTGCTGCTTTGCATGTGGAAATATGTCTGCTCCTCCTTCCTTTGGGAGCAGGAATGCCTCCATAACATGCTACATGAGAGGAGTTCTCAGGGCTGCCAACCTTGCAGGAGAGGTTGAGTAGTAGTATATTTCTCCTACATCAAAAAACAAAAAACAAAAAAAAAGTACTGCTGCTGAACGTGTGCAAATTACTTCTCAATTTATATTCCTAGAAGCCACACACTCATTTTAGACATAGCACCTGTACCCTTCATTCTCGGCATTTAAAACGTTTAAATCAGCTTCTAACCTGGGGAAGACAGGCCGTGTCACACTAACGTAGGAGAAAGACACTGGGAGGAAACAGCATTCCCAGTAAGCCCTGGCCCAGAGGGGTTTTCTTGGGATTTGTAACAAGACTGCATAACTGGGAATACCGTAAAACCCTCTTTTCTATTTAAGGGAAGCTGTTCCACCAGGCTGCTTCCAACATTGCAGTTTTCCATTCGACTCTGAAGGTCCCTGCAGCCGACAGTCCCAACCACCCCCTCTTTTTCAGCGAGCCCCTAGGCTGAGTTTTGCTAGAAGCTTGGCTCACTTCTTAGCCTTCTGTTTTCTCGAGCCCCTAGGTCAGAGGTCTGCAAACTGCGGCTGCGAGCCACCTGCGGCTCTTTGGCCCCTCGGGTGTGGCTCTTCCACAATAACCACGTGCTGACGCAAGCGTACAGTGCGATTGAAGTGGCCCATGCGCAGAAGTCAGTGTTCGGCTCTCAAAAGAAATTTCATTCGTTGTACTGTTGGTATTTGGCTCTGTGGACAAATGAGTTTGCTTACCACTGCTCGAGGTTCTCCAAACCTTTCTCTGCATTCCCTCAGGCCACCCCGGGCCATCTTCTGGTTGATGAACCGAGCAAACAGTGCCAGGGCTCAGTTCTTAATTCCACCCACGCCACTCTCACACCTGACAGATACCAGCACAGCTGCATATATATATATGTTAATATATTTTATTGACTTTTTTTACAGAGAGGAAGGGAGAGAGATAGAGAGCTAGAAACATTGATGAGAGAGAATCATCGATCAGCTGCCCCTTGCACGCCCCCCACTGGGGATGTGCCCGCACCAAGGTACGTGCCCTTGACCGGAATGGAACCTGGGACTTTTCAGTCCACAGGCCGTCGCTCTATCCACTGAGCCAAACCGGTTTAGGCTGGCACAGCTATCTATCTTTGATCAGCCTGCTGTCTGAGTCCGCTGAGATGCCTGCTCCTAATAGGTCTCACTAAACGGGACCTCGCCAGGTGCCTGAGGCAGCCTTCCAATTCCTGTGCGTCTGCTTGTCAAGGCCTCCGTGCATATTACCGGTGACGAGTCATCACATCCAGGCTCTGCTTTGAAGTGTCTTGTCCCAACTCTCAGGTTTCCATGGAACCTGTCATGGTGGACCCGGTGAACTGGCAGCTTTTTGGTTATTCATCCGTGTTTTCCAAATCACTGAGTTGTAACCTTTATCCCATCTGTGCAGCCTTCTGACGCCTTGATTTTGGGGAAGATAAAGAATGTCGATTGCGTCCTCCTGGCGAGGTAAGATGTTTTAAGCTTTTGGAATGCTGCTACTGAGGGAGAATGTAAATTTGGCTTAAACCCTGGAAAGAGTCCTGGTGCCTGGAAAGAGTTTCGTGTGCTGGTGGAGCCGACACGTTTCAGTCGCCTTTTACTCACCGCTCACGGCGTGCTGGGCAAGTTGGACTGACTCATCTCTCACCCAGCGCCTCCTGAGGCTGGGAGGGTGAGAGCCATCCAGCCAGTGACAGGATGAACTTGACTCAAGTTGAAGCTCTACAAATGAAAATGTCGTCTTCTGTTCAGTTTTCTTTTTTTCACTAGTATTGAGATAAAGTAAAGCTGTTTCCTTCAGTGACTGTCACTCTAGTTTGTGTTTGTGGGGAGTTTGGGGCCCCTGAAGTGGTTTCCCTGCGGTTTCTGGGCCCTTGTTATCTTCAGCAAGCCCGTAGGGTTCCTGGTTATGGCGGGGATAGCGATCCTTGGTGTCCCATGGTTAGAAATTACACCGTTGTCTGTTGCTACATAACAATTAACCACACAGCTAGCAGCTTCAAACAGTACACATAGTTTCTTAAAACAGCCTGGTGGTTGCGGGGTGCCAGCCATGCGGGGTGTCAGCTCAGCTCCGTCTGCTGCTCTGGGTCACGCCAGGCAGAGTCAGGGCTTATTCCCACCCTGAGCTCCAGATCCCCTTTCCAGTTCACGTGGCTGACGGCAGAATTCAGCTCCTCCAGGCTGTGCACATTCTCTGCCCTGGGACCCTCTGCCAGGGCAGTTCGTGGGCTGGCAGCCCTCCCTGACAGGCCCCCCCGGCGGGTCTCTGCTGTCAGGGTGAAGCCTCACGGTAGGAGGGACCCCCAGCAACTCTGCTGTATCCCATTGGTTGGCATCAAATCTTGAGTCCACCTGCAAGGTGTCCGCAGGATTGGTTTCCTCCAAGGGCCCGGAGGGAAGGGTCCACTGGAGGCCTCTCTGGCTTGTAGAGGACCCTCTTCCCTTGTCCCTGTGTCTTCACGCTTGCTCTCTGCGTATCTCTCCAGGTGTTCTCTTCCTGGAAGGATGCTATTTCTATTAAATTAGGGCCCTCCCTAATGACCTCATTTTAACTGAATTACCCTGTTGAAGACCCTCCCTCCAAATATGGTTGCATTCTGCTGGTCCTAGCGGCTAGGAGTTCAGCATGGGGATGGAGGGGGCCACGGGGGTCATGGGTGAAGCGACCGGTTCTCAGACAAAACCTTCTAAAGCTCTAAAGGCTTTAGTAACTAATTTGGGTGGCCGGGCCGAAGGAATGGAGAGCTTCACCTGGAAGCTTGAGCTTTTATTTCTTTCTTTCTTTCTTTTTTTTTTTTTTTGCTTAAAAAAGATTTATTATTTGTGTGATTAAATTGCAAGATAAACTTCATTTCATTCACGTCTTCTTTCCATTTCTGTAGAATCATTCTTTTTAAGCATGAGGTATGGGAGGAATCTTCTAACCCAACAGTAAGTCACAAGGTGATATAACCAAGGCCGGCATGATATAAGCAAACTTCCCATATATTTCCCATAATTTAAACACTAAGAATCAGTCCATCCGTATGCCAAAAGAACTTCTTCACTGATACTGCCCCTAGGGCAATGGAAGCTTAATGCTATATACCGGATCGTGCAGTTAGCTGTCAATCTGGTTAATGGGATTTTTGCTCCTGAACCTCAGTGCACAGTGTCAGCACATCAGGGCTGTAAGACGTTACCTTCATTTTCACACGGGCTTGCCAGTTGTCGGAGCCGCGGTAAAGCTTCAAAAGAGCCGCGTGCGGCTCTGGAGCCGCAGGTTGCCGACACCTGGCTCTTAGTAACCTAGATGGATGGCTCCGTTGATTGAGTGCCGTCCCCTGCTCTGAAAGCGTCATCCCTCGCCAGTTCCATTCCCAGTCAGGGCACATACCCAGGTTTCAGGTTAGAAGCAACCCATTGATGATTTTCTCTCTCTCTCTCTCTCTCTCTCTCTCTCTCTCTCTCTCTCTCTCTCTCTCCTTGAGCTTTTATTTCTATGTGGAGTCTTTATGTTTTCTGTATTGGGGATAAAAGACCAGATGCCTCTGGTTGCAGGGCTTGGTGTCCCATGGGGTAGACACAACTCAGCTAACTGGAGAGGGAATTCTAAGTCAGTTAGTACCTGCTCTTTTTTTTCTTTTTTTTTTTTTTAATATATTTTATTGATTTTTTTACAGAGAGGGAGAGAGAGGGATAGAGAGTTAGAAACATGGGTGAGAGAGAAACACCGATCAGCTGTCTCCTGCACACCCCCTACTGGAGATGTGCTCGTAACCAAGGTACATGCCCTTGACCGGAATTGCACCTGGGACCCTTCAGTCCGCGGGCCGACGCTCTGTCCACTGAGCCAAACCGGTTTTGGCAGTACCTGCTCCTGGTAGGAAAATAAGGACACAGACTGGGAGCGGCGCTTTAAAACCGAATGGCTTAGACTTAGAGTTGGCTGGTCACTGCCCAGTCTCTTTTCCCCCCTCTGCCAGTGAATGGGCTTTCGTGGGAAGGGCTGTAAGTGGGTTTTCTCTTCTGACACATGAGATCGCGCTGCTCACTCACCGACCACATTCGCTCTTCTTCCCGCAGGCACGGGAGGCTGCATACCATCATGCCTTCCAAAGTCAACTATCGGGCGAACATCTGGGCCCTGAAGGAGGAGGGCTGCACTCATGTCATAGTGACCACGGCTTGCGGTTCCTTGAGGGAGGAGATTCAGCCCGGTGATATCGTCATCGTTGACCAGTTCATCGACAGGTATGCCGTCCTCTGTGCCGCGGAAGGCACCTGGGAGACCGTTCCCAGCTCAAGTGGACAGCGTGTGGGAATTAGGGGGAGGGTGGGGCAGACCCACAGACTAAGGTTGTTTTTTTAAAATATATTCTATTGATTTCAGAGAGGAAGAGAGAGAGAGAGAGGGAGAGAGAGAAACATCAATAATGAGAGAGAATCATTGATTGGCTGCCTCCTGTATGCCAGACACTGGGGATCAAGCCCACAACCTGGGCAAATGCCCTGACTAGCAATCGAACCGTGACCTCCTGGTTCATAGGTTGACGCTCAACCACTGAGCCGTGCCAGCCGGGGCCCACAGACTTGTTTTAAGCTTTTTAATTGTGGGATTCTTACACGTATACCAAATAGAATAATCACCGTTTCAACATTTGTCAGTTCGCTCGCTGCCTTTTGTAACTTAAAAAGATGAGGACTCGTTAAAAAAGAAAAAGTTACTTACGGTAATATTTCCTCAGTATTGAGTGCCCAGGCAGTGTTCTCCTTGTTCCTCTTGCCATACAAACTTCCTTTTTCTGGTTGATTTGTTAACCAGGGGCAAGAAGAAGCTGCCGGTTACTTCTTTGTCAGGAGATCCCCACCCCCTGGCCTCCTCTCTCGTCCTGGGGAGTCCCCCACAGTAACTGGAAGTTACTGTTTGCATCCCCAAAAGTCATTTGGCGTCTTCCCATTTCCTCTCATTACCAGAAACCAGAGGTTTGCTCTGGAGGCCTGATCAGAACCAGGTTCGAGGTCTTGGCAGAAACCCCCGCCTGTCAGGAGGCACACAGTGTCTGGTTGTCTTCTCCCGCTGTCAGTCCACAGCTGGTTGGGGAATTAGGGATTGTTCGTTATGTACACAAGTAAGATGTACTGTTTCTTGACCCCCAAAATTAAGCAGTAATAGGCTGCCGAGATCCTGGGCTGCTTCTGCCGTTAGAAGCAGTTGAAGAAATCACAAGGGAATGTGGGAATCTCGTGGGGATCCCCCCCCCCCCCCCGCCCCATTCCTGGTGGAAATAACAGCCTCCCTGGGTGCCCTGGATGGAGACAGGTGACTGCGCTCTGCACCCTGATCCAGAGCCGTGGGGAAAAGTGCCGAGGGGCGTGAACTGTTTGGTGGTTCCTACCAGAGTCCCCCCTTCAGTCACCCAGACCACCCACTGTCTTCCTGCTCCTCCCCTCATTACCTCTGAACTTGCTGTACCCAGAGCCTCTCCTCCCTCTTCTGTCTTGGGAGGAAGGCTGAGTCCGCCGGCTCTGTGTGTCTGCTGCCTTTCCGGGATTCGTTGTAATGTGTCGCCCATCATCAGAAGGATTCTCGATTGTCTCCCTATGCAACAAAGCTCTCTGGTAGACCCGTGGGACATGGAGCATTCTGTACATTAGAAATGGTCGGAGATCGGCAGTTTCATGTGGCTCCACCTAATACGTAACAGGGGTAGACTGAGATCATTCCACGCTCCCCCCATCCCATCATTTCTCCTATCATTTTCGAGCCCCTGACACTATATATGTATTGTCTGCCTTCCCCTGTCTGTAATAATAAAAGCGTAAAATGCTAATAAGACTGAACATCCTTCGGATGAATCCGGGGGATGCGAGGGAAGCCCGGGTCCCGGGTGCCAGAGGGAAGCCGGTGCCGGCAGTGCGGGAAGGAAGGCCTCCTCATGCACGGATTTTGTGCATCGGGCCTCTGGTAGAATATAAACCACCCGCGGGAAAGACCCTCCTGTTTGCCGCTTTACCCCTCACGCCCACAGCACTGCGGCCTGTGTTTTTAGAGTGATTGAATGAACGTGATCACACCAAAGGCGAGGGAGCTGGAGCTCGTGTGTACGGGACATCATCCAAGTCTCTGCGGCTGTCCAAGTACAAGTGTTTGGAGATAATGGTTTAAGAAAGTGGTTGTACTGTGATGTTGGTTTGATTTTTAATCTTCACCAAGGATATGTTTATTAATTTAGGGAGAGGAAGGGGGAGAAGAGCGAGAGGGAGAGAGAGAGATAGAAACATCCATTGGTTGCCTCCCATACACACCCCAACCAGGGATCGAACCCGCAACCCAGGTATGTGCCCTGATTGGGAATCGAGCCTACAACCCTTTGGTGTGCAGGATGATGCTCCAACCAACAGCCACCTGGTCAGGGCTGTACTATAGCTGTTTAAAATAGCAGAGTATTGCCAAAACCGGTTTGGCTCAGTGGATAGAGCATCCGCCTGCGGACTGAAAAAGGTCTCCGTTAGATTCCGATCAAGGGCATGTACCTTGGTTGCCGGCACATCCCCAGTAGGGAGTGTGCAGGAGGCAGCTGATCGGTGTTTCTCTCTCATCGATGTTTCTAACTCTCTATCCCTCTCCCTTCCTCTCTGTAAAAAAAAAAAAATCAATAAAATATATTTTAAAAAAATAAAATAGCGGAGTATAGAACTCCATATTCACAAGGATCCGGATTCCTCAAGCGTTACAGATGACATCAGAAGGAAAAGGCTGATGTGGGAGTCATTGGTTACTTGTGTGGTAACTAACGGTGCACTGTCATGCTCCTCACAGGTGAACGCAGAGCTTTCACATACTGGCTCCCAGACCTTCCCCTCACCCACACTTACTCATCAGGAAAGTCCCGCCGTGCACACAGGGAAGAGCCGGGCCGAGGGATGACGTCAGGTTATTCCCCCTCCCAAAGACACGGCCTGGGGCTTCCCCTCCGGTTCCCATCTGGAGATATTGTTTCCACCCTATCAGGCCCGGCTGGGAAGTTCAGGGACACCCTGAGACCAGTGACATCACCACCCCAGCCTCTGCAGCTGGAATGGGAGTTCCCGGTCCAGTTTGCAGGGAGCCTTCCCTGAGCATTCCAGTCTGCTCCTGCTCAAGCCTTCCTGGTCTCGCAGTGTCCTGCCCACCCCTTTCACTCTTGGTTGAGGAGTTACCTACCTCTTCACAAGGAAGAGAACAAGCTTTCTTCCTCCTCACCCCCCCCACCCCCCCATGCACCCCGGTCCTGCAGATGGCTGTCCAGGCAGAGGGGGCAGCTTCTCCCTGTTCTCTCACCGCCTTCCGGGACAGCCACGCTGTGAATAGGGATGCTGGTGAGCTCCCCGTTTTGGAATTCCTAGGAGGTGCCACCGGTCTATCCTGTTGGCCGCACACAAGGGTAGTTTCCCCGGTTGATTAAAGTTGAAGAAACTTCAGCTCAGAGATCCTGGCCATTGGCTAGTACGTGGGACCTGTGGGGTTTGGATTCCGGTTTCTCTCCGAAGCCGATGACCTCAGCCATCGCTCACACTTGGACTTCCAGCCCCACCCTTTCCCTCGGGAGCCATCCTGGCTGCAGGACAGGGTCCCAGAGACACCTCAGGCTTCGTGATGGAAATTAAATTAGTCCTCTCGATCGCCTTCTAACCCCACACTCCTCCTTCTCCCAAGCACCCCATTCTTTACTTGGTGAATTGCTAATTGGTGAGCCTGGCCCTGACCTGCACCCCATGGTCCCTGCTGGGAGCTGTCACCCTCCACCCACTCAGTCTCCAAGCACTGCTGGGCCTGCCTGGAGACACCCCCCCCCCCCCCCCGCCCCCTTGTGTAGGTCAGCTCTTCACGGAAAACCCCTTCGCCCTAACTTGACTCCCTTCAAAGCTAGTTCCCATACCGGTCCCTAAAACTATACTAGAAACAAAGATACCGGCAGAAGGGTTCCGAAAACCATGTGGCCAGCCGGCTGCTGCCTCCTGGCGGGGCTTCCCCTCAGATCTGATCATCGGGAGTGACAGCAGTGAAAACCACCTGCTGATAGCAGACCTCAGCATTCCCTGTGTTTGCGGGGGCGGGGGAGAGGGGTTTCCCTAATTCTTCACATAGAATACCTCACTCAGCTCTTCCTGCAGTTTTTTGTCATTTCGTCCTAGTCCTTTTTGTCATTGATGTCGATGATCTTGGACGTGTACTTTAAAATGTCACCTTTGGGGCGGCCTCTTCCATTGCTTTTGTACTTCGGATCCCTGCTCATTTTCCTCTGCCCAGTAAAATATTACTGTTGGTTATTCTGATTACATCTGTCTGCTCTTCTGAACATGAAGGCATTCTTTTTTTTTTTCTTTTCTTTTTTTAAATATATTTTATTGACTTTTTTACAGAGAGAAAGGGAGAGGGATAGAGAGTTAGAAACATCGACCAGCCGCCTCCCACACCCCCCCCCCCCCCCACTGGAAGACGTGCCCGCAACCAGGGGTACATGCCCCTGACTGGAATCGAACCCAGGACCCCTCAGTCCGCAGGCCGATGCTCTCTCCACTGAGCCAACCTGGTTAGGGCTGAAGACATCCTTTCATTCTGAAGTGAAGGGGAATGTTGAGCTCTGGCCAGCTGTCAGGGGTTGCTAGGCCCTGGGTAATTGGCATTGGTGTACCTATTGTGGTAGAGATGGTTAGAGCTTTTCTAACCATCTGACTCGTTGACATTTAAAATACCCATGCCTTTCCAACCAGCCTTTCCTTTTGCGCATCACAGTCCTACGAGAAGCACAGAACAGCGAGTTTTCCTAGCCGCCCGCTTGCACCGGGATGTGTGTGTGCAAGCCTGCGGCAACGGTTGGCAGCCATGCTATGGGGTGCCCTGCAGCTGTAACTGGAGGTTTTGTTTGTTTGTTTTATTGATTTTTTTACAGAGAGGAAGAGAGAAGAATAGAGAGCTAGAAACATCAATGAGAGAGAATCATCGACCAGCTGCCTCCTGCACACCCCCCACGGGGGATGTGCCTGCAACCAATGCACATGCCCTTGACTGGAATCAAACCTGGGACCCCTCAGTCTGCAGACCAAGGCTCTATCCACTGAGCCAAACCAGTTTTGGCTGTAACTGGAGTTTGTTAGAGCTTCCTGTGGGGACCTGGAGCCGTGTCCGTGACACCTCACCGTGAAAACAGACCTGACCCTCGTACGCGCTGTTAGAGTCTGTGGTATGTTCTTGGTGCTGATTATCACAG